GGGGGGGGGGGGAATTATTAGTAGCCCATAACATGAGTCTTATAAGGAGCTCACAAATATCGTTTTTTATCCATGCGAGACGAGTTGTTACAAACTCCCCACTTAAACTGCTGACGTTATCGTTAGGTCTGTCCAAAATCTTTCTTCTTATAATCGGCAATGCGGGATTCATCTAAGATGTTACAAACACCCCTCGAGGACTCATCATACCTGATGAGGTTTTTCCCACCATCCTTCCAGTACAAGGATCGGATCTAATACCATTTCTTCCTCCTAGGCTAACTGTATTAGATATTGTCTACTTTGTCCACACACCTAAACTCATGGTTTTAAATTGCGTCTGATAAGGAGGTATCAAGCTCTTATAAGGCAACATTTGTTCCCTTCCCCAACTAATATGAGATCTTACAATCCACCCCTCTTAGAAGTTGAGAGTCCTTGTCAGCACAACTGTCCAATTCCTAGCTCTAATACCATTTATAACAGGCCAAAGCCCAAAGCAGCAGGTTGAGCCAATAACTTGAATCCAACTTGAAACCATGGTGAAAGTTATTGATAGTCCACAACTTGAGGTTTATAAAGAGCCCACAAATGGTTTATTTCACTCGCCATTCAAACGATCCATTCATTAGAAGTCATTTTCGTCTTTTTGTCCATTTTTGTTTTTTTACCAATCAAAATGATTTTTTAATGATTTTGGTTGTTGTGATTTTGACAGAAGACGTAATTTTCTCTCATTTAACGAATTTTTTTTAACGACCGTTAGAAAATTTTACCAAATTAAGGCGTTTTTACAAATTACAAACCACATTAAAAATAACATTTCATACGTAAATTTGTACGCTAATTTATTCTGTTTTTTTGGGTCAAATTGAATTTTAAACCGAGTCGAAGTCCAACTCGGTCCGCAAACGAGTCACCGATATTTTGATGAGTCAAACTAAATGGCCCATTAATCTTGGCCTTAAAGCCCAATTTTAAATAATAATATGGCCCATGACAACCATATGGAAATTACGATTTTCGTCCCCATGGTTTATTAATAATTGTGATTTTTGGATCTGTTTTTTAGAAATTACATTTTTTTATTTTTATGATTTATAACTCATTGTTATTTTCGTTCTTATAATTTACCATTTAATGTGTTTCGGTCCCTATGGTTTACAGTCTGTTATTGTTTTGATCTTTTGTACTCAGAGCATCTCCAACGGATTCCCCAAAATATAGAACAAAACTTCATATGTCTAAAATTAAAATACATTCAACTACAACAGATTCTTCATTTTGCAGATTACAATATTGATTATATTATTAATCTATTTCATTCATCTAATAAAATATTATTTGTCTCTTTAGATATTTATTTTTAAAGGTTTTTATTAATGGAAATATATTTAAAAATATTTCTCTCTCATTATAATCATTTTTACGGAGTTCTCCAAATTTAGAGATTTTTACACACTTTCTCATACTTTTTCTGTTCTGATTAAATGTTTTAAATAGTCTGTTAGAGGAAAAAAGAACATGCCCACTATCTCTATTTCGGTAAATGCATTAGAGATTCTATTAAAAGTAGTAATTGGTAACCACAAGGGTGGTGTCTGATTGATTTGAGCTTGACTTCAAAGGTCAAAAAGTACCAGAAGGTCTCATGTTCAAATCCAAGGATAAATAAAATTCCCCTTGTGGCCACGGAGGTTCAAATGCGGTGACTTCGGACTATCTGCAAAGCAGGTGGTCGTCCTGGGATTAATCGGCTCGCTTAGCGGGTTGGATATCCAAGTTAATAAAAAAAAGGTAGTAATTAGTCCAGGGACGAAAATCGGAAAAAATGTAAACCATAAGGTCGAAAATCTTAATTTCTAAACTACAAGGACCAAAGAGTAATTTAATCAAAAAGAAAACCATTAACGCCGCTGCCGGGGATCGAACCCGGGTCACCCGCGTGACAGGCGGGAATACTTACCACTATACTACAACGACAACCTTTGTTTAATTTCAATTTCAATATTATAATAATAAATAATAATTAAAAAATTAATATTTTTTTAGATTTTCTGTTATTACATATAATATAAAATGTCTAAATTATTATTTAATTATTTGATTCTACTTATATCGATACTCAAAAAATTAATTTTAAAAATGCACATTTAAACAGCTTGGGGAACCGTCAGATAAATTAAGGTGTTGAATGGTTTGATGCAGAATGTTTAAAAGGATTATGTATAATATAGTACAAAATGAAATATAGTTGTTAGTAACCGTTCTGAATGACAAAAAGTTACCCTCTATATAAATGTTTTATAAATAGTAAGAGAGAATATATATGCAGAAAAATTAAAATACTACATATTGTTCGTTAAACGTATTACTTTTTTTATTGGTAGAATCATATTTTATAGTTAACATCAGTTTTGATCTATTTAATCCTGGAACGATTCGTAACTCTAGCAGTAGCAGGGGCAATTCAAGATGCCTTCTGATACTGATCGAAGAACTGCTTCGTCCTGGTGGAAAACATAACCGATCGAAATCAGCAACAATCGAACCTAATTAAAGCTAGGGTATGTAAAGAGATTGAGAAGAACGTACGTAGTGGAAGGGCTTATGAAGCTTATCAGTGTAGGATACCATGACAATAGACTTTAGCATCACACAACACCGTGAGTTCACTCGCCTTCTTGTTAATAGCTTCAATATGAAGAATTAACGAAACCACCGATTGATGTTTGAATGATACGGAGTGGAGCTAAAGAAGATAAACTACGCGTTTGTGTGTGGGTGTGTGTGTGTGTGTGATGAGGGAAAACGATGGAGGGAATCGAGGTGGGAAGAAATCGGCGTGGAAGGAGAAACCGTGTTAGGAGGGAGACGGTACTTGAAGGGCAAATGGAGAAGAATTAGGACTCTGAATCATTTTGCTTTATCCTCGATACAAAAAGGTTAAGATGATTCTGGGACTATTAAAAGACGTTTTTTTTTTGCCAAACAAGAGTTTCCTCTGAGCAATTCAGAGACTGTCTCTTAATGACACCATTAAGATGTAAACAAACACCTAAGAGCATCTCCAACGACTCTAGTATAATTTTTTACCCATGTCAAATGGTGACACCATTTGACTATAAAAAACGAAGCTATAGATATTTTTTTACTAAATTATTATTGGTTTGTTGGCTACTTTTTCTTGTTTCTTTGTATATGAGGTCTTGTGTTCGAGTCTTTTATCTCAATTTTTTTCATAAACATAATAAATCTGAAATAAAAAGCTAAACACTAAGAAAATGATGCAAATAAGTTCGAACCCTCATTTGGAAGGGGAGAAAAGACCGTGTAAACCAATTCTACAAAGAAAAAACCTGTGTTATTATTGTAGTTTCAAGAAATATACATCTGAATTCAAAAAACCAATACAATG